CGCTGGGTCCCGGGCGCTGCTGTCACTTGCAGACTGTGCAGGCGACCCTCGAGGACCTGGGCTGGAGCGACTGGGTCCTGTCCCCGCGCCAGCTGCACCTGAGCATGTGCGTGGGCGAGTGCCCTCACCTCTACCGCTCGGCCAGCACGCACGCGCAGATCAAGGCGCGCCTGCACGGCCTGCAGCCCGACCGGGTGCCTGCCCCCTGCTGTGTCCCCTCCAGCTACACCCCGGTGGTCCTCATGCACCAGACGGACAGCGGCGTGTCCCTGCAGCCCTACGACGACCTGGTGCCCCGAGGCTGCCACTGCGCATGAGCGCCGGGCCACGCCTCTCACCTGCACTCCACCCTGCTATTTATATTTGTATTTATTAATATTATTAATTTATTGGGGTCTGGCTGGGTGGGTGGATTGTGTATTTATTTAAAGCTCCGTAATAAACGTGAGACTGGTTTCTATGGGGGTCTGAGACCGTGCCTCGGTGACATTGGAAAGACACCCACATCCCTAGCCTCAGTTTCCCCAAGACAGCAGCTGAAGGGATGAGTGGGTGAGAATGAATGACATGTCAGGCCTCTCAGGCAGGGCTCCTGAAGCTGCTCCATGAGTAAAGGGGTTTGTACCCAATCCTGATGCCCTGGGTTCGATTCCAATGGACTCACTTGGTCACATAGTGATCTGACTCTTGACAGCAGATGTCCTCTCATCTCCAATGTGCTGCTCTCTCTCTCTCTCTCTCTCTCTCTCTCTCTTTTTCCTCTCTTCTATCTCTCTCTCTCTCTCTCTCTCTCACACACACACACACACACAAATACAATGCAACAAAAAATTGTTTTAAGGCCAGAGAGATGGCTCTTCCAGAAGACCCAGGTTCAATTCCCAGCACCCACATGGCAGCTCACAACTGTCTGCAGCTCTGGTTTCAGGGGATCTGACACCTTTATAACAATGCTTATAAAATAAAGGTTTTCTTTTAAACTTTTTTAAAAAAGAGTTGTGGCATATCTGGACTGTGCTCCTGTGACTGTGTGATTTGTCACAGGGACAGTGCCTGGCTCCACCTTAGTCACTCTGCTAGTGGCCCTTCCAGTATGCCTGGGGTTACCTTTTCAAACATAGGCAGCCTGAGGTCATCAAGTTCGAGATTCTACATGACCATGCTGACCCCAGCAGGGAAGAGGTCATCACCTTTCCTGCTTCTAGCAATTGACTTCACGATAATTCTGCCTCTGATCTTTCTCATGAAAAGAGCAAGGAGTAAACAGTAAGTTATGAGGTTCCACCCAGGCTTCATCTCCCAGGAGAGACATTCCTCCTGTGTGAATTTCAGAATTGCTGAGTTCAGGCCCTCTGAGATGTGTGAAAGTGTCTCTTCCCACATCATTCACAGTGAAAGAATGGGTGGTTTGGATGGTCTGGTAAAAAAAAATCACCTGATGGGCTGGAGAGATGGCTCAGTGGTTAAGAACACTTATTTCTCTTCCAGAAGACCCAGGTTCAATTCCCAGCACCCACAAGGCAGCTCACAAACTGTCTGTAACTCCAGATTCAGGAGACTGGATACCCATGGCAAAACACCAATGCACATAAAATAAAAATAGCCAGCCTGTTCTACAAAGCAAGTTCCAGGACAGCCAGGGCTACACAGAGAAACCCTGTCTTGAAAAACAAAAAACAAACAAGCAACAAAAGTCCTGAGGTGGGGCAGGGCAGGACCAATGGTAAAGAGGACCCTCAGAGAGAGCACTCTCCCGGCAGACCAGCCACTGCCACAGCCACCTGTCTGCTGGTGGTCCAGTTGTGTGAGCAGGGAGGAAGAGCAAGCCAGTAAGCAGCCCAAGGCCTTTCATCCCTGGTGGCTCCCTTGGGTCTCCCGCCCAGCAACAAGAACCCACCGGGATGTCAGACACCAAAGCAGCAGTGTCCTTTCTGTCCTCAGCAGTTTCAGCCTGCACCAGCTGCTCCTGGGGTCTTTTCCTCTCCACTCCCCAGCTCCTAGGCACCCTGCAGGACCTACTGCAGATTCCCCTGTTATATGGAACCCTGTTCAAACCCTCAGGGTCTCCTAGGGACTTTCCTCCCATCTCTCCTGCAAACCAGACCCAGCAGCCCAGTACTAGGAGTGACCAGGTTGTGTCTCAGCAGGACCTGGACCAGCAGGAAGTGTCTTATAAACTGATGAAACACACTGATCTCTGGGGAGCTCGGCTGAGGAACCCTGGAAGGCTTCTCGGGAGAGGCATGCTGCACCTGGGCCTCTGTATTAGTCACAGTTCTGCAGAGTAACAGAACTTACAGAATGAATCTCTCTCTATGTATAGGGAAAGGGTTTATTGAAGAATTTACAGGCTGCAGTCCAGGTAATCAACAATGGCAGGCTGTGAACAGAAAGAATCCAGTAGTTGTTCAGTCTACAAGGCTGGAGGTCTCTGCTGGTCTTCAGTATATACTGGAGTCTTGAAGAAGTAGGTTCCAATGCCAGGGAAGGAATGGATGTGCTAGCAAGTTGAGGGCAAGCAGACAAAAACCAAAAGTTTACTTTTTCTATGTCCTATTAGACTTCAGCAGAAGTTGTGGCCAGATTAAAGGTGTGTTTTCCTGCCTCAAGAACCACATCAAAAGCATGTGTCTGACATCCCAAAGTTTGGACTGGAAGTGGATCTTCAGCCGGGTGGTGGTGGCGCAGCCTTCAATCCTAGCACTCAGGAGGCAGAGGCAGGTGGATCTCTGTGAGTTCCAGGACAGCCAGGGCTACACAGAGAAACCCTGTCTTGAAAATCAAAACAAAAAGAAAGAAGAAAAAGAAGTGCATCTTCCCACTTGGAAGTAAGCAGCAATCCCTCACAGGTGTGCCCTCTGTTTTGGGCTTTAGTCAATTCCAGATGCAGTCAGGTTGACAACCAAGAGCAGTGCCACAGCCTTGAAGTGTTCTTTGGGTGGCGTTGCTTTGTTTTTAATTTGTATGTCTGTTTGGTGAGCAGTGAACCCAGGTGGGAAGGACAGAAGGAAAGAAAAAGGGACACAAGGAGCCGGGGAGCCACATAGGCTACAAGCCCCTGACCCAGGGTCCCTGAGCTCTGGGTAGGGGGGAGGGTAGAGGAGGGCAGGGTGGCAAAGAAGGGTAGTAGAGGGTAGGGGAGAGCAGGAAGGGGGTGAGGCAGGGGAGGTAGAGGAGAGCAGGGGTTAGGGGAGGATGGGGAAAGAACCCCCACAGCTAGATTCCTATAATTCTAACATTGAAAGGGAGAAGAAGGGGTCGGATTAGGAACCCTGTTTTGGCTATATTGTAAGTGTGAGGCCAGCCTGGGCTAAAAGACCCTGGTGAAGGGAGAGAAAAAGAAGAAAGGGAAGGAGGGAGAGATTGATTCCTTAGGGGTTTGCTTGGATTAGAGGCTAGTTCTTCTATACACTATTTTTTTTTTTCCCACAACAAAACAGAACAGAAGAGAATCCATGGCACTTTCTGTGGGATGGTGATTTTCAGCATTTGAGATGTGGTCAGATGGATTTCAGGGGAAAATCAGGAAGTTTCCAAATGGAACAACCAGATATTTATTTTGCCATATGACAACAAACAAATAGAACAGTTTGTCCCTCCCTTTCCCCTTCCCTCCCTCCCTCCCTCTCCCTTCCTTTCTCTCTCAATCCCACCCTCCACCTCCCTCTCTCTCTCTCTCACAGTCCTGGAGCTCTTAAGTGAATCCTTTGTAGTAGTGGGTTGTTTGGATGAGCTTGTCTCTCATGGGCAGAGATTTAACCACTCAGCACCCAGTGGGTGGGCAAATCACTCCTATACCTCAGAAAGCCTCGTTTCTACACCATCAAAATACAAGGGTGGAAAAGACACACATGTGTGTGCTGTGTGAGAGGTTCATGTACACACGCGTGTGCATGAATAGTGTGTGTGCTGTGTGAGAGGGGCATGTACACACGCGTGTGCATGCATAGTGTGTGTGCACCACCGCCCGGCCCGACATCCTTTTTTTAACGGTTTTCCTTATTATCATTTGCCTCTGAGCACAGAAGAGACTGTGAGAGGCTCTGGGAGAGCCATGTGGGTGGGAGGACCCGGGTCCTCAGAAGGGCAGCACATAGTCTCCTCCCGCTGGGGTGGTGACCTTCCCCATCCCTTCCCGCCCGCTACTTCTGCTTTTTCAACATTTGCGTCTCATTTACATACCCCTCCTGCTCAGCAACAAGTTACCCAAATCCCCGGCCTCAGCTTCCAGCCGCCCCCCCTTTCCTTCCTTCCTTCTTCCTAGCCCTCCCCGAGGCCCACAAACCTCCCCCACTTTTTTCTTTCTTTTGTTTTTTTTCTCTCTGTTTGTGAATTTGGTTTGTTGAGAAAGTTTCATGTGGTCCGGGCTGCTGGCCTCAAGCTTGGGATCCTCCTGCCTCCACCCCACAGTGCTGGGAAAACAGGCAGGCACCACCTTTGCTACTTTACCCAGGTTTAACCGGTTGAACATCCACATCACAGAGAGATGGAGGAGGCAC